GTCTCGTGTCCTCCTGTACCATCCACAGTCCATATCCCTTAGCCCGTGCTTGCCCGAGATAATTAACCCTGGCCAAACAGAAAGTTCGCATGCAGTGGCTGGGCACACGGGCCACGTGACCTTGCAAACTACCACCTCAGGGGCCCTTCATGATTTACGTCCACTCATCACTACCGAAGTCAGCAATACCCTTTTCCCTGCATGATACTCTATCCTCGTGCCACAAACTATTGTTCGATCTTCATAAAGTAAACTCAAGAAGCTCCAACGGTTGCAAAAGTCATCTTGGCCACAACGTCCTCGGCGTCCATCACCCTCGGCTAGATTCCCTCTCACCCACCGCTCCACCGGCTTCGCCATCGTTATCAGCAGGGTCAGCGCTACAAGGTCATCCGCCTGTGCCACCGCGACTCTACTTTGGGTTTTGTTCGCCGTACCTTCGCTCCCGTCACCCATACAGCTCAATGGTCGAACTCTCTGTGGCACGACCCACAAGGTCCTCTCCAGGACCAGGAGTGCCACTGCCGAGCGTGGCTTCTCAGTGACAGCGCCCACCACTGAAAAGTCATCCACAATAGAGGGTTTTTTTGGGGTTAGATCTCGTAAATATATAAATGTGTCGTTAAAACCCGCCACCACCCGACTCAGCCAACTAGTAAGGGTTGTTATGTAAACAGAACTTGCCAATTCGTCACTAGTACAGCACTCTGGTGTGTTGGAGAGTGGTCGGGTGGTGGCGGGTTTTAACGACATATTTATGCGATCTAACCCAAAAAACCTCTGATGGATGATATTGGTTGTGAAAGCCTACGTGTTAAACAAAGTCACTGCAGCCTTTTAATCTCCACCAACTTTTCAGAGACAATCAAAGGCCTCCACCTATATTTTTAGTGGCTAAATCTTGACTTAAAGCATTTGTGACTGCAGGAATTCATATTCTTGGGTCTTTTTTGTAATGTCACGTAGATAGGTTCAAAGAAAATAACAAAAAATAACAAAAAACTACGACGTTTCGATCGCAACACAAGCAATCGTCATCAGGAAAAATAAATAGTGGGAGAGCTGCTCAGGCAGGATTTTTAAAGGGTTTGAATGGGTGGAACCTCAGGGTCATAAGCGAAGTGGGCGGGGCTAGTGACGGTAAAGTGAGAAATTTGCATATCAATGTAAGATCGGAGAGCTACCGCCACGACGACGAAGCTGCGGAGGTGGCCATTGTATTGTGAGAGATCAGCATGTCAATGTAAGATCACAGAGCCACCGCCACATCGAGGAAAACGAGCAACGGTGGCTGTGTTAGTGAGACATTTAGCCTGTTAATGTAAAGACATTTAACCTGGTAATGTAAAACCAGAGAGTCTAAAATAACTACTAACATCGGAAGGTAGGATGGAAACATCACAGCCAGTTATGACTTAAACTGGTTAATAACGTCCTTCCAATGATTGCTCAGTTTGTACCCATCTCGGTTACAATTGTGTCTGTGTCTATATATATGGATGGCTTCATAAACGAATCTTTGTTGATAACCAGTGGGCATTCAAAGTACCTTCATCTTAGAGAAATACATTTTGAGCTTGGCTTTGCCCCTCATTGTCACAGTAATTTATGTCTGTGAATCACATTATTACGTATGTGTATTGAACTTCTTATGCACCGTACGTAGCCAACCGTGCTAATCAAAGGTGCGGGTGAAGGACAACAAACTAAACAGAAAACAATCTATTGTAAAAAAAAGTGATGTTTCAACCTATATAATTTAAAGCGAAGAGCCCCAGTGGTTTCCTAATATCGAAAGGAGAGCGTTCCAGACGGCCGCCGAAGCGCATCTGAAAGTGCGTGGTGCAGTGACCGACTTTGTTCGACGGTTAGCCAAAAGCCACTGAGAGGATGACCGGAGTTTGCATGATGGTTTATGCTCCTTCACCAGATCAGCAAGGTTATTATCGGTGGTGGAATATGGCCGAAATGTCCTGGAACGCCTTTGTGGGAGTGACAATGTGGATCTGACTGTGTTCTGGAAGGAATGGTGGGTAGTCTATATATGTAATGAGAGAGCGCCATCTAGTGGGTGCCAGGGGGTAACTGTACGGGCACTATCGGGTAATCGGTATCCAATCATAAGCAGGGATAACATCTGGGCCAAAGGTGACGGGCGGAGTCGGAGAAGATGTTCGGGAACCATCGGGAAGGTTCCACGAGGGGGCGTGGCTAGAGGCGGAGCTTTGCTCCACCGGGAGATATATAAGCAGAGGCTGGGGAGGACTCGTGGTCGGTGTGGGAAGCCTCGGTCCGGACAGCGTCGCTGCTCAGCCTCTCCTCGCCATCGACCGTGTGGCGGATCCCCCAGCGGAGCTCGCCTCAACTCCCCGGCACGCCGCCAGCCAGCGGCGGGATCGGAGAGAGAGTGGCGAACCTCGACGGTGGGACGGAGAGAACGCTTCGTCCACGGCATTTGATGAAAAGGGAAATAACCCGGAGAGGGAAGGAGCGGAGCTGTGCAGTGGTTCAGTTAATAAAGAAATGTATTACATATATATCAATATCTTTATATAATTCACAAGTTTCTGCTCGTTGTGAGCATCGCTCCTCTGCCCTCCATTGTTGGAGGCGACTGCCGAAAACTATCTGGTAGCCTCCTCCATAAAGGCCAATCTTGAGATCACTGATATCAGTCATTGGCAAGTTCACTCAGCTTCACATCGTCCTATACCACATCAGTCCATCTCTTCTCTAGCCAGTGCCGCACTCATTTTGTCGCATCTATCCAGGCAAATATAAGCTGCTTGAGCATGCGGTGATTGGCAATGTGGGCTACATGACCCGTGAGGAGCTCACTGATGGGACTGTGTCCAGATCTTTAAGGATCTGTGAGCTCCTCACACAATGCAGTCTTGTTAAACCCATGATGGATTGTAGCCAGGAAAGCTTGAATGTTTGGAACCAGCACAGACGTTCCTTTGAAGCAGTCCACGTTTTACAAGCATAGAGAAGGGAAGGCATAACTGGCCGAGAAAACCCCGAGGCTTCATATGGAGCAAGAGGCCAGGCAACTTCCACACGGCGTTACACAGCCGATGAAAAGACAATATCGTTCAACTGAGTCTGAGTGAGACCGCTGCTGCCGAACTTGTCATAAGCACACTTCGCAGCTATGGGAACTCCTCCACTCTCTCCACAACTGCCCCATCGCTCATGGGGAGTTGCAGGGGTGGAGTGTTTGATGTCTTAAAATACCCAGGTAGGTGCTTTGTTTTGGTTTTGCTGATGTTAAGATCAGCAAGGTTATTATCGGTGGTGGAATTTGGCCGAAATGTCCAGGAACGCCGTTGTGGGAGTGACAATGTGGATCTGTGTTCTGGAAGGAATGGCGGGTAGTCTATATATATGTAATGAGAGAGCGCCATCTAGTGGGTACCAGGGGGTAACTGTACGGGCACTATCGGGTAATCGGTATCCAATCATAAGCAGGGATAACATCTGGGCCAAAGGCGACGGGCGGAGTCGGAGAAGGTGCTCGGGAACCATCGGGAAGGTTCCACGAGGGGGCGTGGCTAGAGGCGGAGCTTTGCTTCACCGGGAGATATATAAGCAGAGGCAGGGGAGGACTCGTGGTCGGTGTGGGAAGCCTCGGTCCGGACAGCGTCTCTGCTCAGCCTCTCCTCGCCATCGACCGCGTGGCAGATCCCCCAGCGGAGCTCGCCTCAACTCCCCGGCACGCCGCCAGCCAGCGGCGGGATCGGAGAGAGAGTGGCGAACCTCGACGGTGAGACGGAGAGAACGCTTCGTCCACGGCATTTGATGAAAAGGGAAATAACCCGGAGAGGGAAGGAGCGGAGCTGTGCAGTGGTTCAGTTAATAAAGAAGCACTATTCAAGCGTCGTCGTGGAAGAAATGTATTACATATATATCAATATCTTTATATAATTCACAAGTTTCTGCTCGTTGTGAGCATCGCTCCTCTGCCCTCCATTGTTGGAGGCGACTGCCGAAAACTATCTAGTAGCCTCCTCCATAAAGGCCAGTCTTGAGATCACTGATATCAGTCATTGGCAAGTTCACTCAGCTTCACATCGTCCTATACCACATCAGTCCATCTCTTCTCTAGCCAGTGCCGCACTCATTTTGTCGCATCTATCCAGGCAAATATAAGCTGCTTGAGCATGCGGTGATTGGCAATGTGGGCTACATGACCCGTGAGGAGCTCACTGATGGGACTGTGTCCAGATCTTTAAGGATCTGTGAGCTCCTCACACAATGCAGTCTTGTTAAACCCATGATGGATTGTAGCCAGGAAAGCTTGAATGTTTGGAACCAGCACAGACGTTCCTTTGAAGCAGTCCACGTTTTACAAGCATAGAGAAGGGAAGGCATAACTGGCCGAGAAAACCCCGAGGCTTCATATGGAGCAAGAGGCCAGGCAACTTCCACACGGCGTTACACAGCCGATGAAAAGACAATATCGTTCAACTGAGTCTGAGTGAGACCGCTGCTGCCGAACTTGTCATAAGCACACTTCGCAGCTATGGGAACTCCTCCACTCTCTCCACAACTGCCCCATCGCTCATGGGGAGTTGCAGGGGTGGAGTGTTTGATGTCTTAAAGTACCCAGGTAGGTGCTTTGTTTTGGTTTTGCTGATGTTAAGGCTCTACCTGTAAGTGGTACGTTCCAGGTTCACCTGCAGAGTTTCCAACTCAGAATGAGCAACAATTACCAGATCATCAGCTTATGTAACTAAACTAAAAACTAACGAAACTATTTTTTTTATTTTCCCAGGTAAGGCCCACAAAGCTATATAGCTCTGTATCAGAAGCGACCTGGCCACAAATGATAGCTCAACGTAGTGGCATATCACATGGACATGTATAGCAACCAAATACTCTAAATGCACCTTTCTAAATGTGGAGAAAAAAACCGGAGGACCAGGAGAAAATCCACACGACCACGGAGAGAACACGCAAACTCCAAATATACAGCAGGCATCAGGGTCAGGATCGAACCCACGACCTCCTGTATACCAGGCGAGGTAGTTCACATCAGGAGGAGGGGGGACAATGTAAACCCCAGCTGCAGTGATAATGAAATTCTCGCTTTAAACTTGAATCAGCGACCCGAGACCAGACTATTGTGAGTTTGAATGCTGTCCTATGTGGGCAGCCGCCACCGTAGCATAAAATGGCAGGCGCATCTTACAGATGACAAGCCAATAGTTAGTGGGAAGATCAGCTCCACGGTGTGTCCTTGTGCCAAGAACGAGAGCCCACATTCTATGTTCCAGCACTATGATGTTGTTTGGATGTGCCGATGCACGGACAGCGTGTTGGTAATTAATTAGCTACTGGACATCTGTGATGAAGAGCTTTATTGCTCATTTTATTCCTCCAGTATAAATAAATAATCTGATTCTGGCAAGGCCATAGGCTGATAACAAAAAAACTAGCAGCCACCTACTGTTGTTATTGTGCTGATCTGGCTAATGCCTTCCAATCACTCCAGCACAGGTGTCCGCGTCATGACTCACTCTGGCATTAAAGTCACTCAACAGGACAATTATGTCCTGAGCGGCCACTTTAGTCAGCACCTCCACTGATGTTCATCTTCGATTGAGGGCATAAACCACCACCACCACCAGTTCTCGTCTAAAGTTGATGGAAAGGTGTGCCCAAAGTAGACTGGAACCCACAACTTTCCACACGTCACCACCATGCTCCGATGCCCCCTTCATTGTTTGTTCAGTCGAGGACTGTCCACCCCTCACAGGGGCTGAAGCCAGGACCAAACTCACGGGACCTCCTTTCTTCCGCAGAGATCCACGTGGCACCAGTCAAGCTCTCAACAGAGGTCCACGTGGCACCAGTCAAGCCCTCAACAGAGGTCCACGTGGCAGCAGTCAAGCTCTCAACAGAGGTGCAGGTGGCACCAGTCAAGCTCTCAGCAGAGGTGCAGGTGGCACCAGTCAAGCTCTCAACAGAGGTCCACGTGGCACCAGTCAAGCCCTCAACAGAGGTCCACGTGGCAGCAGTCAAGCCCTCACCAGAGGTGCAGGTGGCACCAGACAAGCTCTCAACAGAGGTCCACGTGGCACCAGTCAAGCTCTCAACAGAGGTCCACGTGACACCAGTCAAGCTCTCAACAGAGGTACAGGTGGCACCAGACAAGCTCTCAACAGAGGTCCACGTGATACCAGTCAAGCTCTCAACAGAGGTCCACGTGACACCAGTCAAGCTCTCAACAGAGGTCCACGTGGCACCAGTCAAGCTCTCAACAGAGGTGCAGGTGGCACCAGTCAAGCTCTCAACAGAGGTCCACGTGGCACCAGTCAAGCTCTCAACAGAGGTGCAGGTGGCACCAGACAAGCTCTCAACAGAGGTGCAGGTGGCACCAGTCAAGCTCTCAACACAGGTCCACGTGACACCAGACAAGCTCTCAACAGAGGTCCACGTGGCACCAGTCAAGCTCTCACCAGAGGTGCAGGTGGCACCAGTCAAGCTCTCAACAGAGGTCCACGTGGCACCAGTCAAGCCCTCAACAGAGGTCCACGTGACACCAGTCAAGCTCTCAACAGAGGTTCACGTGGCACCAGTCAAGCTCTCAACAGAGGTCCACGTGGCACCAGTCAAGCTCTCAACAGAGGTCCACGTGGCACCAGTCAAGCTCTCAACAGAGATGCACGTGGCATTAGACAAGCTCTCAACAGAGGTGCAGGTGGCACCAGTCAAGCTCTCAACAGAGGTGCAGGTGGCACCAGTCAAGCTCTCAGCAGAGGTCCACGTGGCACCAGTCAAGCCCTCAACAGAGGTCCACGTGACACCAGTCAAGCTCTCAACAGAGGTTCACGTGGCACCAGTCAAGCTCTCAACAGAGGTCCACGTGGCACCAGTCAAGCTCTCAACAGAGGTCCACGTGGCACCAGTCAAGCTCTCAACAGAGATGCACGTGGCATTAGACAAGCTCTCAACAGAGGTGCAGGTGGCACCAGTCAAGCTCTCAACAGAGGTGCAGGTGGCACCAGTCAAGCTCTCAACAGAGGTCCACGTGGCACCAGTCAAGCCCTCAACAGAGGTCCACGTGACACCAGTCAAGCTCTCAACAGAGGTTCACGTGGCACCAGTCAAGCTCTCAACAGAGGTCCACGTGGCACCAGTCAAGCTCTCAACAGAGGTCCACGTGGCACCAGTCAAGCTCTCAACAGAGATGCACGTGGCATTAGACAAGCTCTCAACAGAGGTGCAGGTGGCACCAGTCAAGCTCTCAACAGAGGTGCAGGTGGCACCATTCAAGCTCTCAACAGAGGTGCAGGTGGCACCAGTCAAGCTCTCAACAGAGGTCCACGTGGCACCAGTCAAGCTCTCAACAGAGGTACAGGTGGCACCAGTCAAGCTCTCAACAGAGGTCCACGTGGCACCAGTCAAGCTCTCAACAGAGGTGCAGGTGGCACCAGTCAAGCTCTCAACAGAGGTGCAGGTGGCACCAGTCAAGCTCTCAACAGAGGTCCACGTGGCACCAGTCAAGCTCTCAACAGAGGTCCACGTGACACCAGTCAAGCTCTCAACAGAGGTACAGGTGGCACCAGACAAGCTCTCAACAGAGGTCCACGTGGCACCAGTCAAGCTCTCAACAGAGGTACAGGTGGCACCAGACAAGCTCTCAACAGAGGTGCAGGTGGCACCAGTCAAGCTCTCAACGCAGGTCCACGTGGCACCAGTCAAGCTCTCAATAGAGGTTCAGGTGGCACCAGACAAGCTCTCAACAGAGGTTCAGGTGGCACCAGTCAAGCTCTCAACAGAGGTGCAGGTGGCACCAGTCAAGCCCTCAACAGAGGTGCAAGTGGCACCAGTCAAGCTCTCAACAGAGGTGCAGGTGGCACCAGTCAAGCTCTCAACAGAGGTCCACGTGGCACCAGTCAAGCTCTCAACAGAGGTGCACGTGGCACCAGTCAAGCTCTCAACAGAGGTCCACGTGGCACCAGTCAAGCTCTCAACAGGAGTCCACGTGACACCAATCAAGCTCTCAACAGAGGTGAAGGTGGCACCAGTCAAGCTCTCAACACAGGTCCACGTGGCACCAGTCAAGCTCTCAACAGAGGTGCAGGTGGCACCAGTCAAGCTCTCAACAGAGGTGCAGGTGGCCCCAGTCAAGCTCTCAACAGAGGTTCAGGTGGCACCAGACAAGCTCTCAACAGAGGTCCACGTGGCACCAGTCAAGCTCTCAACACAGGTCCACGTGGCACCAGTCAAGCTCTCAACAGAGGTCCACGTGGCACCAGTCAAGCTCTCAACACAGGTCCACGTGGCACCAGTCAAGCTCTCAACAGAGGTCCACGTGGCACCAGTCAAGCTCTCAACAGAGGTACAGATGGCACCAGTCAAGCTCTCAACAGAGGTCCACATGGCACCAGTCAAGCTCTCAACAGAGGAACGGCACCCTCTCCTCCGCAGTGAGCGTTCGAACAATCCACGTGGCCAACCACAACGGTTTCCAGCTGTTTTTTGGAGGAGTCCCGAGGGAGGGGGTTTCAGTCCGCTGCCTCTGCCAAATGGGGGTTGGCCAAGTAGATGTCTGCCCGGGGCCTACGGCACAAGCTAATTTTGTGAGTTTTTCTTTTTTGGGTAATTTAATTGAGGGTGGAGGCGTTACCAGCCCCTCGAATACGTCAAAGGGCCCCCATTGGCTATCGTGGTGGCTGCGAGCATGCCATGGGTGTAACAGCTGTATATTAACAGCCTTGCCACCAATGCAAATTATCACAGCCACCAGTGTCACCGACTTGCAACCATCGACGGAGGTGGGGGTTGTTGTTTTTTGCCAGCCCACGCAAAAAACAGATACACACAGATTGACACACGTATGTGTATGTACGTGTGTGTGTGTGTGTTGCACTTCTTTCGCACCGTGCATAGCCAACCGTGCTAGTCGGAGGTGCGGGGGGAAGGACAACAAATTAAACGCACAAAGTAGTTCTGAAGAAATAATGCGACGACCTGATTTGCGTCGTCTCAACCCACACACTGACGTCGCCGACAGCATCATCGTCCGTCCTTTCTCGTATCCGTCAGATTGTTGGGGGGGGGGCAAGTGCTGTTAACGAGCACGAAGGCCGGCACGGCACACGAGGGGGTGGGTGGCCAGCACTACGCCCGGCCGCCTTTGTCTCCCCAGTGCTGATGTATATATACACCGCACCAGATACTCGTTTGAGGCTGAGTCGACCTAACAAAGATGGGGACACACACACAGACACATGGACACGCACAGATACAAAAGAGAAACACAGGCATCCACATGCACTCACACATGATGATGACGATGATGTTTCTGGCACACAGGTGCTTCGGGAAGAACACAGCCCACGTCCACATGTTCGAGCTTCTTGTCTTCCACTTACAATCGTTATTTTTATCCAGAAACCTTTGGCCGAGAGCTCTTGACACCCACACAAATGGGCTGCTGCTGCTGCAGCTTCACGGGTCAAAAACCACAGCCATTTATCGTTCGGTTGACCAATGATATCTGGGCGTCGAGGTTTGAGCCCATTACCCGCGCACGGCATTGTTCAGCAGGGAGAGTTGACCTCTCCGACCACGGCGTTACACAGAGGAATGTTATTTTTATTCTTAGCTATTCGTCAATAACTACGCACTTGATAGTACAGGGTGACGGCGCAGTGGTTAATACCTGTTCCGCACAGCAAGAAGATCACGGGTTCGATTCCTGTCTCGGGCGCCTCTGATTCGCGCGGTTGGCTACGTACGGTGTGAAAGAAGTTCAACATACATACATACATAGTGTGTCCTCCCCTGTTCTGTACTCGTTTCCTCAAGATTTTCTGATTTACTCCCATAGCTAAAAAACCCCATATAACTAAAGTGGTGAAAAGATTACCCACACATTATTTAATTGGGATAACACAAATCAGAAACATCGCCCACCCCTACTCCGAATACTTTGGCAGGACCCTCCTGAAAAAGGTGTCTTGAGACTCAGTGAGGCTTTCCTGGGGTAAACGAGCGCGATTTAACAACAACAAAATCAATGATATCGTTATTAACAATAGGCGTGTTCTGGTGGCTCAGTGATCAGACCACTGAACCGTCACTGGCGAAAACTTGGGTACAATTCCAGTTTGCTGCTGTCCGTGATTATACAAAGGTCTCAACTAGGGAACCACCAATTACTGTACAAATACAACTAAACTAAACAATTTTTTTTTATTTGAACTCATTCTTTTTTTGCTATATTCCATCTCTTCGAATAAAATAAATCTCGGTTTTACTGCCTTGCGACAAACGTACATTTGTAACGGGCAATATGGGTGAGCGTTTCAACCCCTTGTGTGTGGATTAAAGCAAAAGGTCACTTTTAATGGTTCTCATAAATAGTTCTGTGATATCCGCTTCCGTGAGCCGTTATATCAAGGGGGCGATTTACTGCCCTATGAGATTTTCCAAATAGTTTCTGTATGTTATAAACACGGTGTGCACAACAAGACGACAGATTAAAAAAACATCTGAGAGAGAGAGATCATTAACACTGCCGTGATGTTAAGTGTCGCCTGATTGTTGACTTCACTCTTTTTCTATCTTTCCCCAGTTATGCTCCAGAAAGCGGTGCATCGCGCTGTAACAGAGAACAGCCTTCAGGAGAAAGTGGTATATAACAACTGTTTGCGATGTGGTGGTGGTGGCGGTGACTACGCACGTGGCCTGTCGTCCCAACACTGTGTGGCGAGGGGTTGGTGGATCCAACAGATGTTGTGCAACTCCCTTCCCGTGGGTGGGCGTCGAGGAGGAAGCTATACCTTAGCTCGCCTGGAGATGGCAGTGACAGCAAGCGGACTAATCTCCCATCTCTTTCCATCTGTACGGGGACAGAGTGTCGTCTCCTCGTTGCGCGGGTGGGCTTTCCTCCGGGTGCTCCGATTTCCTCCCACGTGTAATAAAAAAAGAGTCATTGTCTCTCGTGGATAGTAACTAAATTAGTCATTCTACTTTCCCCTTGTCCAATCATGAATCATAAACTCTTTTGGCTCTGAGAGTTCAATAATGGCCGTGCGTAAAGTTCGGTGTCAAGTGATGGTAACTGGACTTGATTCGAAGCTTTCGTGACTGTGTCTTTGTGTTGTCTCTGCTTGTGTATCTGCCTTTGTGTCTTGGCTTGGATTTGTGTTCTCTGTGCTGTCTCTGCCTGTGTGTGGGCCTTGTTGCTTCCGAGTGGGTGCTGCTGCGCCCCACTTTGCTCCATGCATACCTCATGCTAATTTGTCCCATTGTCTCTCAGCCTTACCTTCTCTGCCTATTTAAGGCGACTTCACTGTGTGCGTGTCTGTGCTGGTTCGCTCTACTTGGATGTCTATGTGTGTGTGTGCGCGGTCTGTATTTTAAATTTCATACTTAACTTGCAATTTAGCAATCTTTGAAATTGCGTGATCAACCGGACTATGCGTTAATTGTGTTTTGACCGACCTTCTGTGTTGCTTTATATGGTTTCCAAATTTTGCTAAACCCTGTTCGTCTGGTATGCTTCTCTCTCTGTGTCCCCTGTTGTAGCTGTGTTAGTTCCCCCTTACTTGGGTGTCTGTATATACATCTGGGGTTATGTGTTTCCTCTCTCTCATAAATTTAGCTCTTCTGTACCTGATGATGGCTGCTTGTGTTGCAACCGAAACGTTGTACGCTATTATGTTATTTTATTATTTCTTATTTATACGTGATGGTAACTGACTTACTCGTGCCGAGTGGTTATTTCCGAGCCAAATTAGTGACGATTACTCTCGAGCGGGGTGCTACTGATGCCGTCCAGACTCACTCGCCCTGCAAACCCACTGCTTCTTGGAGATGTAAGGGCTCGTGATCTTTCTCCACGAGGCACGCGCCGTCTCCTCCGCAAACGAGTAATGGCACAGCGCTCGTCTCTCCTGGCGGCTCTGAACTAGCAGCAGAAATTCCACATTCCCATGGCAAGGGACAGTCGATCCGTGTAACCATCAATCCGTGTTGGCTTACCGCAACGTAGAACGCATTTTATTGGCCTTGCGGATACGATCCGGGAAGTCGACACATGACCGGGATTTGAACTTGCACCCTTGCCGGCTGTGAGTCGAGTTCGCTAAACCACAGTGCCACCCATCCGGATGCGATGCTGCGGAGGCGAGATGTTAACTCCCTTGCCTCGCATACAGGAGGTCGTGGGTTCGATCCGTGAACCCTGACAAAGCCTGTATATTTAGAGTGTGCATGTCTCTCCCCGTGGTCGCGTGGATTGTTCTCAGGGTCCTCGGTGTTCCCCTCCACATTTAGAAACGTGCGTTTAGAGTATTGGGCTGATATAAATTTCCACGTGATAAGCCACTTCGTTGGGCTTTCATTTTTTGGCCAGGTCACTTCTGCAAAAGAGGCTATATAGTTCAGTGGGCCTTGCTTGGTAAAATAAAAAAAAATAAAAAAAATTAGAGATAGGACAGCGTTCGATGCAGTGCGTTGACAACGATTGTAGTGGTGGCACATGGCTGCAACTTCAGTGCCCTGGAGGTGCCAGATAATACCTCACTGAAGCTGGCGTGAGGAGCAGAAGTCCTTTACTTATACCTGAGAGCCTCACTGGGACTCGAGACTCATTATCAGCAGAATGCTGCATTGGGACGTTCGTCAATATTCACTGAACAACTCTTGCGTGCAGCAGGAAACTGGAATGACCAGAAACAATTTCCACGCGCACGAGGCAATAACACTCAACAATGTATAGACATAGGCCAACCACCCTACTTATTGTAGTGTCTTCTCCTGGCACGCCAGGGGGCTCACAACACGAGACTATCTCTACGCGATCCACTGACCCTGCATCCCAAGCGACCCCGATTACCGCCGTTAATTTAAAAAATAATAATTATATCTTGATTTAAAGCTTTCGTGACTGCAGGGATTCATATTCTTGGTTCTTTCGGTAAAGCCACCACGTAGAAGGGAAACAATAAAATAATACAATAAATGATACAATCATCATCAGCTGTGATTGCTCGTGTGATTGCTTGTGTTGCAGTCGAAACGTCGTGAGAATTTCATTGTTTTATATTTTTTATTATTTTATTGTTTCCCTTCTACGTGACTTTACCGAAAGAACCAAGAATAAAATACGTATTATATTTATAGCGTAACTGTCAATTTTTAAAAACGACCCTGTCGCATTTGTGGCACGCTGCCGGCCAACAAATTAGAAATAATTCCATAGAAACCGGGATTATTAGGATGAGGGTTATCATGACGACCAGGAGACGAGGAGGCGGCGTTGCCATGCCAGCGGTTGCCAAGCGACCAGCATCATTTGCAGAGCGGCTTTGGCTCTGTGAATGAGGCATCGCCAAAAGGGGCTTCATTTGCTCAATTATAAGTGTGCCCATATATATTTAAAAAAAAAATTCTGATTGGCTCTGCACGTTATTGGGCTGACATTATTAGACAGGGAGAAATTATCTGATTGAGCCTTATTAGCGTAATTATTTACGTAAAATAACGAATGAGGTGTGGTCACAACGTCCTGGTTCTGACACGGAAACAAGCAGTATTCGGACACTCAAAGCACAAGTTGTCGGTGCACAATGCGTTATCTTTAACGGGGCAGCAGTTAAATTCACTCTGCCGCATTTTTTTCCTAAATATATAAATCTCTGAGGTCGTCTCATTTTGTGTGTTCATACAAAAAAAGCTAAATCTGCAAAAAGAAACACGGAGAAATATGGAGAACAATAAGCGAGATTAGCTTTAGAAATTGGGGCCATTCCTTCCAATAGCTATAACCTCATTCGTTTCACTAGAACACGTAAAAAAATCAATTTGCAGCCTCCATTATTTAACCCACTCTCATAATTACGTGTAGATTTACCTTTATTTTTTTTTAAATAGACGTGTTCAAGGATGAATTTCACTTTTCGCTTATATATCTCTACGAATGTGAATGTGTTATATCGAAGGCCGGCAACTGATTAGAGTGTGAGTTCAAATCTTAACCAGGGTGTCCCCATAATTATCGTCATCAGGTAACAGTTCACACACTCGCCAGTGATTCATTATATTCCCGTAATATGAGGTCAGGAAAAATATAATTTCAACTTTTAATACGTGTAGGCCACACAGTATTCGCTCACTCTCAAAGACAGAAGACGAGAGGAGGTGGGGGGGGGGGTTGGCTCAGAGGCGCGAGGAGGAGCCACAGATAAGCAGGGAGGCAGCAGCAGCAGCAGACAGGCGGCGAACCGGCGCTAAGCACGAATTTCCCAAGTTCTGCAGTCCTTTATATATCCTGGCATTGAGCCAATAAGCACGAGATTAACAACGTTCTTAAGTAGTGTGCCTTCCGTGGACTTTGCCCAGTCACGGGTGAACTGTTCGAATCCCTGGTCCAGGGTCAACATGGCCCACCATTTGGATCTCTGCGTTATCAATAAAAACCAAGCACAGTACCGCTTTGTGGGAGGCTTACAGCGGTCTATAGAGGGCCCATTGAAATATTGAATGTTTAGCCAATGTTTTCAGCCAATTTAACGAGTGTTTATACATATGGAAGGAAACCACAATCCCGTACTGGGGAGAAATCCCACGTGCTTGAGAACACGCTCTCCCATACCGACGGAACAAGGGAGATTCTCAACATCTTTGTGTGATCCACCCCACCCTCGTTACATCCACTGCACTCGATTAAAGGCTCTGTGCACAGCCACCACCACAGTACGGAAATTAATTTTTATCCCATTTTTTGCTGTTCTGATTGTATTTGTCCTCATTTTGGCCGTTCTGTTAATACGCTTTAGTCCACTCCATTTAACGAATGTAACATTGGTATATCGTTCGTGGAGAATGCACGCTTAATTGTGGAGAAGTGAAAATTACACACGTGATATGAAGTAACCGCCATCCTTCACAGTATGACAAATAGAAAGCTCCGAGACCAGACGGCCTAACCGTGGACGTAGAACAGCACCTGCGTGCACCGACATTGAGACTCCTCCATCGCCCTGCGATGCCGCAGTCATTCTTCTGCGCATAAGAGGGTGATACAACAAAAACGGATTCAAAGATCAAAAACCACCAATCACCCTCCTCTTTGGTTCTCTCGGTAAAGTCACGTGGTAGGTATAAAATAAAATAAATTAAATCACGACGTTTCGATCGCAACACAAGCAATCATCATCAGGTGGGAAAACCACGGTGAAAATTTTTTTCTTGCTCTGCTTTTCCCACCTGATGATGATTGTGTTGCGATCGAAACGTCGTGATTTAATTTATTTCATTTTATACCTACCACGTGACTTTACCGAAAGAACCAAAGAGCATGGATCCCTGCAGTTACGGAAACTTCAAATCGAGTTAATCACCCTCCTGTTGCGTGCGTCTATAAATTACTCACGACCGTCGTGTGGAACCGAATCGTGGACTAATTCGGAGGCCAAACAACCTCGTGTGCAAACTGGATTTGGCAAAGGTGGCTTCTCTACCGTTGAACCAATCCGATCCTAGATAAGACAAATGGATATCGCATAGAATTACGCCTGGCCTTTGCGAACTTAGGAAAGGGATTTGATGAAGACCGATGCAGTTATTATCCAAGCTCACACAGACCAAGTCCTGACTGACGTTGTACAGAAGCTATGAGAACAGCTACACTGAGAGTTTCCACGAACAAGAGTGTGATAAAACTACAAATCATGAGCGAGAAGCTCATGCACTGGAGTGAGATGAGCTTGTAGCAATGCCAGGTACTGCTGCTGATGATGATGAGGATATCAGCGGGCTGACACGCTCGATTACAGAAGCAACCGTCTTCAGTGCTGGGCGAGAGAAATGTAACGCAGTGGCACGCTGCTGATGTGCTCCTGGTGCTGTCACCCTTCTGGACAGTTGCCGAGCATGGTAGGCTTCTTGGCTCTCAGCTGGGCTGCAGGGGTTTCCAGGTGGATTTGTTTTCATCTTGCAAAACAACAACAACAACACATCGACGATGTTTGAACAACAAATTGGACCACGCGGAACGCGATGCAATGCTTTAAATCAAGCGAGCCGAATGCCCACATCGCGGGATGACATAAAGAGCCCCAGCGAATTTTAAAAGCCATTCAATTAAGTGGATTCAAAAAATTAGATCTCCTCCTTATTGTGAGATGGAAAATGCAATTCCCAGCCTGTGGGTGTGGAGGTGTCTTAATGAAAGAGCGCGGACGCCCACGTTCATGGTCGGATGTCGCACTCGCATCGCGGTCAACAAAAGCAGAGTCTCTTGCCGCTCAATACGCTATGCAAATGTCAGTGGAA